AGTCTTTATGTGACTAGATCAAGAGAAGAAGAAGAGTTGAGAAGAAGTGGAATGTGTGGCCAGTTGCCTCTGTGAACCACTGCCTCATTTGCCTTGAAACTAGAACTGACTGGTGCTTAGATACCGAGTATTTCGGATCAAAAATTCTACAGAAGAATCTTGCTCACACTGGGGGAACTGCAGAACAGAGTTTCAAATTCTCGTGAAATCCAAACCTTCTGGAATTTTGGAGCTTGGATGACTCTCTAAAAACATATTGCCCTGAGATAATCTTTAAACTTTTGAACCAAAAATGTCCTTTAAAGTCTTCTTAACACTAAATAACAGTGTAACTTAACTAGGAAAGAATGTTGGTCTTGATGGAGCCCTTAAAATGTATTTACATGAGATCAAATTGACTATAGAAACTCAAAAGAATTAGACGGGAAATTTAGGGGGTGGTGAATTTATGTTAAAGGGAGAGAAACAATTCCGAAAAGGAGAGATTGGTTGCCCAGCTTGAAGAATGCCATCAGTGTCCCACTACGGTCCCTGTAAAAACTGCTGAACTGGTGTATAATGTGCCGAACATATTCAAAACAATAAACAAAATTATATTTTTTAAAAAAAGATAAAGAATTAGTCCATGGTGACATCAGTGTGGCATTGATTAAAGATTCAGACACTGAACTAGCCAATTGTTCCGTCCTTTTTTTTGAGAGAGAAGACAGCACAAATGAAAATGTCAGCTGTGTTCTGTGGCTCATGACACCATAATGGCTGTAACCTGTGAAAAGGGACTCTGTTTCCAGAGAGACGCTGCCCGTACTTCTCACAGGAATCACAATAATCCAGGATTAGCCCTTGAGGAAGAATTGTCAAGTCCTATTTCCAGTTAGTCTCGTGAATGTCGGCCACTGTCATGGAAGGATCTGCCTTTGTTGTATGGCATTTAAACGTGATTTCCTGGCCTTCCCTGAGGATATGTTTGCTGAAAACCAGAGACAAGGGCAGGTTTCCACGAGGTGGCTTCCCATTGATACTGAGACCCAGAAGAAAATGAGTGGAAATGTTGTTTCACCCGATAAAACCATCTGACCATTTACTATGATGAAGTGTTTGTTTGAAGTTGAAGCAAGTTCTAGATAAGCCCTTCATTGAGAAACCAGAGAGAAAGCGGGTGGGTGGACAGCATGGTGGTTTAGAGTGAAGCCCTGATTACAGAGTCGTTAATTAAGGCCTGTGGAGTCACCATTGGTTGGAAAATAGACGACTACAAAATTAAAGCCTTGGGAGAAAGTTCCTTTAGACTGAAGAGATCCCAAGGCGTCGTTAAAACGCAGGCATTGATTGTGGCCACAAGGGCCTGTCAATCAAAGTCTAGGGTGGATGTGGGGGGTGCAATGTGTGTAATCAATTTTCTTTCAAGTCTGATCCAGCTGTCTGATTCCACTAGGAGGTCCTTTTGGCCCATCTCCCTGCACAGAGCTGGCCTGAGTGATTGCCTGAGAGAAGCAGCCCCTAGTCCACAGAGACAGGATACTGCTGCTACGGCTGCCTGTATTATTCCCCAAGGCAAAAAAGAGGGCCCAGTCCCCGCCTAGCTTCGCCTGGTTTCCGGATGCTGCCTACACCCCTGCATCCAAACCTGATAAAATCCCGGCTCAGCTACTCATTACAGGGTGTTTTGGTCAACTTCTCTAGCTTCGCTAAAGTTCCATTTTCTTTTCTGCAAACTAGAGAGAATAATTTCACAGTAGAGTCACGAAGACAGTCCACACATACCTAAAAGTTGACAAGAGCTGGGCTGTTCTGGATTGCACTGTGGTTTGCTGCCGCGGGGCAGGCCTCGATTCCTGGTGACTCTGTGTCCAAAGGAGCTCTGGTGGTGTAGTGCATAATGGGTTAAGATGCTAACCAAAAGGTTGGCAGTTCGAATCCACCAGCTGCTCTGTGGGAGGAAAACGAGCCGTCTCACTGGGTGAAGATGCACAGTGTTAGAGACTCAATGAGAACCTGACGGCGGCTTGCTTGGGTCAGAAATAACTCAGTGACATTGAGGTTGGCAGCATTTTCTATGTGCAGATGGATCATTCACTACCCAGTCCTGCACCATCTCTGTGAAAGGCTGTGATCCAGAGGGTTTTCACTGGCCATTTCTTCCTAGGCTGTCTTAGGCTAGAAGCTCCACGGAAACATTTATTCCATATCCTAAAGGCCTCCAACAAGCCTTTGACAGATGGATGTGATTTGGGTTCGCTTCCTTGTGGAGGCCAACTTCCCTCCCCTCACCAGAAAAAAAAAATATAATGTGTATAATTAAAATCTCTATTTCCCAGATTTCCTGGTAGTTAAGGAGACCATAGGACCAAGTTCTAACTAATGAGATCTAAGTAGAAATTGCTGTTGTGGTTGTTTTTATATGCAGTTGAATCAAACCTACTCATAGCTGACCCTCCGAAAGGTTTTCAGGGGCTGTAAATTGCACAGGAAGAGATTGTCCATCTTTTCCCAAGGAGCAGCTGGTGAATTTGAAACACTTGCCTTTGGGTTGACAGCACAACTTTTTACCCGCAAGGCCACTGAGCTCTATTGGAGAGGAATTTTAAGAAAGCTCCTCTTTTCCTGATAAAGGGTAAGCTGAGTGTTCTATTTCTTTGTCCTCTGCTCTTTAGTTCTTATCTTGAAAAAGAAAAAAAACACACAAAAAAAATAAACCCAGAGATAGAGCCATCACTCCAAAGATGTCAGAACAGGAAGAAAATAAAGAGATCTTCCACAGTTCTTGAATGCTTATCTTTGCAGTCCTTGATATATGAGAAAAAAATAAACCCCACAGTTGATTCAGCCACTGGGGGGCATGTCTATTACATGCCTCTCTCTCATTGCCATCAAGCTGGAACTGACTTTCTGAAACTCTGAATTGCACATACGAACACTGCTCATCTTACTAATTTAGAGCCACTGGTGGATTTGAACCACCAGAGAGGCACAGCCTTTGGGTTTACGGTGCACCTCCCTTCGAGCTATGCCACCAGAGCTCCGTCTGTTACATATAACCAAATGCAATCTTGGCCCAGAGCTCTTATTTACCCTGTAGAATAAATTCTCCAACGGTGTGTATGATCTCTCCAACGGTGCTACTTCCACTGTTTCCATTCTTTCTGTACTGATGTGACAGGCCCTCTGGTTTGTCCCTGGAATGTGCCAAGTTGATTTTCACCTCAGCCTCTATGCCCTTACTGTTCTAGTAACTCAACTCATTACTGGCTTATCACTGACCTTCCAGTGGGTTTTCAGAGGCTGTATGGATTGAGGCTCAATGTCAAGAAGACAAAGATTCTCACCACTGGACCAATTGGCAGCATCAGGATGGATAGTGAAGAGATTGAGATTGTTAACAACTTTAGTCGGCTTGGCTCTACAGTCAACACTCTTAGCACCAATAGCCAGGAAATCAAAAAACGTATTGTGATGGGAAAGTCTGCTGTTAGGGACCTCTCCAGGGTACTGAAGAGCAATGGTGTCACTCTGGAGACTAAGGTGTGTCTGATAAAGGCTATGGTCTTTGCAATCACGTGTTATGCATCAGAGAGTTGGACAATGACTAAGGAGGATAGAAGGAGAGTTGATGCCTTTGAGCTGTGGTGCTGGAGAAGAGTGTTGAATGTACCCTGGACTGCCAAGAAAACAAACAGATTCATCCTGGAGAGGATTAAACCAGGCTGCTCCTTGGAGACAAGGATTCTGGGGCTTCGTCTGACATACTTTGGACATGTTGTAAGGAGGGAGAGGTCCTTGGAGAGGGACATCATGCTTGGGAGGGTGGTGGGACAGCGCAGGAGAGGAAGGACCTCTATGAGGTGGATTGATTCAGTGACTGGGGTGATCGGGATGGGTGTGTCAGAGGCAGTGAGATTGGCACAGGAAAGAGCAGGGTTTAGGGCTGTTGTATACAGGGTTACAATGAGCCACAGCTGACTTTTCAGCACCTGAAAACAAAATACTTAAGAAGTCACTCACTTGTTCACTTTAAAATTATCCATTTACTCCTCTGACATTAACACCTCAAGAGGTATAGGCATATCTCTGGTACCTAGAAAAGTGCTTGGTATAAAGCAGGAATTCAAAAGAAAGCTATTCAATCACCAACTGATGAAAGCCTAAAACTAAGAGGACTCTCCTTCACTCAGTAGTCCTCTGTATTTTGTTCTTGTTGCTGTTATGTGCCATCGAGTCACTTGGGACTCATAGCGACCCTATTATGTATGACAGCTCTGAACCCTGCTCTATCCTGTGCTAACCCTTATTGTCTCTTACACACCTACACCCATTTCCCCAGTCACTGAGTCAATCCATCTCTTCGAGGGTCTTCCTCTCTTGCGCTGTCCCTCCGCCCTTCCAAGCATGAAGTCCCTCTTACGGACTGATCCCTCCTTGAAGCATGTCCAAAGTATGTACTTTAAAGGCTAAAAAGAAGGCACCAGGAATTGGTGTTTTAACAAACAGATGCAGCCCTGGGCATCCTTATTGGTCTATGCCAAGAACAATGGTTGGAAGAGATCCACATTTATGCCCATTTTTTAAAAAGGCGATCCAACATAATGTGATGGGTTCCCACGTTGACTTTTCTGCTTAACATCCCAGGACAGAGGTTCGGCTGGACTGACAAGTTCGCCCCCTCCTGAGTCTCCTTTTCCTTAACTCTACAGGGGTCGATCTCCTGGGCTCTGCCGCCCTTCCCGCACAGAACCCAGACTTTTGTCCCAGGGTTGTGTTTCGCTCCGACCCTCTTCCCGCCCTCTCCCATCGCTCCTTCCCTTCAGCTGCTGCGAAGCCTGGAATCGCCGAGCTTCACGCCCGGAACTGGCCGAGTCCCGTCAGCCCCTGCGCCGCTCCTCGTCCCCATGGAAACGAAGACAGCCAATCAGCGGGGCGGCTTCGGCTCCTGCTTGTGTCGGGTCCCCCGCTGTGCTTAGGTGGACGGTGGCCTCCACGGGGCTCCCCCGCCGCGGACAGCGATGCTAAAGGCCAAGATCCTCTTTGTGGGGCCCTGCGAGGTGAGGCCCGGAGCTCGGGGCCGGGGACGCGGTGGCGGGAGCGACGCCCGGGGCTAGGGAGCTGGGCCTGGCGGTGCGGACGGCACCCCGCTCGGTGCTTTGCTCTTGGGGGGCTTCTACTGTGGGGGCACCCAGTCCAATCGCACACCTGTGTATGTGCCGTGCTCACCTAAGTGTGAACTTAGCTCTTCCTCGTCCTGATCCCAACTACAGTCCTAAGGAACTGGTGAAGACGAACCCTGATTTACTGAGACCCCAAATCCCAAAGGCAGCTAGTGGCATCATTAACTGGAACCCAAGGCTCGTTTCTGCACCTTTTCGACCCAGTTTGTCCTTGATGAGTGTATTTGTAGGAAGAGAGAACCAGAGTGAGGAAAGACGGGACCTCTTGGCCCTGCAACTATCAATGAGTTAACAGGGGAAACACAGCAATGCCTGTTGGTGAATTTCGATTCATGTCAACCCATCGTTACCGAGGCCAAAGATAGTAACCCAAGCAGAATAAATTTACATGGGCACTTCATCCTACACACAAAATATAATTAGGATGTACTGAAATGCTCAACATAGAGAAATAAAAGGACTAGATAATGGTACTCCCACTTAAGTAGCACCTGGAGGCATTGGTGAAGCACAGGTTGCCGCCCACCCAAACCTTTCCCTTACCCTCACCCCTCCCCAGCCAGAATTTTCATTCTGTGGATGTGAGGAGGAAACCTAGAATTTATATTTCTAATTAGTGCCCACCTGATGCTGGTGCTGTTAGTCTAGCGACCTCGAGGTGAGAACTGCTGTAGAAGTTGGGCATGCGTGGGGTCTTGCACATTGCTTATAGAACCATCAGTATGTCAAAGACCACCTGGGTCACCCCATGATGGACAGTTTTAGTGGAGTGTTCAAGCTAATCAGGGAAGAAAAGAAAAGCCTGTCTATCTATTTCCAAAAAGTAACCAGATTGGGTCCAAATAAACCTTTGTCTGACTTGAACACACGATCTCTGTCTGACAGTCTGTCTGTCTGTCTCTCTCTCTCTTTCATTGCCATTGAGTCAGAATCGCCTCATCACTGACCCACCTGCAGGTTTTCAGAGGCTGTAAATTTCACTGGAGGAGATTGTCCATCTTCCTTCCAGAGAGTAGTTGGTGGATTTGAACAGCCTGCCTTTGGTTTGGCAGTGCAACTCTTTACCCACTAGGCCACCAAAGCTCCCTGAGCATACCACCAGGAAGGATTAATCATTAAAGAGGGAAATCATGCTGGTGACCTCATGAGAGACCTTCGGTGACAAAACAGACTCAAACATCTATCGATTCACTAGCATCTAGCAGCACTACAGATGGTTAGGTGGAAAGATAGATTTTTAACCTAGAGATAGGAACAGTGGTAAGCACAACGTAAAGGTGGAGAATTCATAAAACAAATGACCCCACTGTTATCGAGTCAATTCTGACTCATTGCAACCTATGGGATAATAAAGCTGCCCAGTGGGTTTCCAAGTCAGAGGACCCGATCCTTCTCCCTCAGAGCATCTGGTGGGTTTGACTTCATTTAACGTTCAGGCACTGCTTGACATAAGTGATAGTGGTGTTTTGTTTTTTTAAATCCTGGGATAAATATTTGCAAGATCACTTACAACCAAAGAATTGATAGCTAGAATATATAATGAATGCTTAAAAATCAGCAAAGGAGAAAATCTTCACACAAAGCAAAAGAAATCTTGCTCCTTGACCCCACTGTGTAACCTTGACAGTTCTTGACCCCACTGTGTAACCTTGACAGTTCTTGACCCCATTGTGTCACCTTGAACAACTCCCTTTCCTCTCTGGGTCTCAGTGGCTTCATACCTAACAAACTGTGATGTCTTGACGATGTAGACAGGGCAAAAGGGAAAATGAAGGAAAGAAACCCAAACTAATGTTTATTTTTTGTTACTCTGTTGACTAAAAGGCACCCCAGGAAGTCAGATGTCACCCATTGGCAGAGCCCACAGCAGAATCCTTGCAACCTGCCCCCTTGCTCACTGGTTGGTCCCCAAACCAGTTATAAAATGAGTATAGGCAGCATAAGACGGCCATGTCTGACCTCTGCTAACTCCCCAGAGGGGGACTGTCACCATCAACAGCATCCACGGTGCAGAGCTAATTCCTGTAAGGTCAGACATGCCCCTCATGCTTCCAGACCTCTTCCTACTAATTCCATCAGAAGTCTGTTGCAATAACTACACACACTTTATAGAATTATACTCACAGGAGGTTTACTAGGGAAGTTAACAGGTTATAATACAGTGCCTCATTCCAGACAGCTTCTAAAGCATGGTCGCAGGCACTTTGACCTTCAGCCTCATGGCTCAGGTCAGTGTTACAAAGTCCCCTTGGTCCTTCTTCCTTCAGCCCTTCAGCAAGCTTGAGTTGAAGGCCTTGGCTCTGTTGGCAACAGTTCCAAATCAACTCTGCTTCATGTTGGTCTCTGGTTCTGTACTGAGACTGCCATTGATTTAGTATAGATCCCATCTAGCTGGGGCAGAAGCCTCTAGCTCCGAAGGACGTAGGCTACTTCCTCTTCCTTATTGGTGTTGAGATTCCCAATTTAAAGACAAGACTTGCCAATCCACTTGTAAACCAGCACACCTTATTTGTATGATTCCACCCACCTATGTGGCAAAATCAAAGTCAATGGCTAGGAAAACTGTTTTGAACCATGAACCCTCAGCACCACACCAGGCTAATCCCACCCTTCTAGAGCGTCATAGGAGATCCCCCAGCCAAAGAAAGCCTTGACTTACTGTTCAGCTCTACCGCCAAAGTCTTTAATTCACTCTCATTTCCACAGAGTGGGAAAACTGTTCTGGCCAACTTTCTGACAGAATCTTCAGACACCACTGAATACAACCCAACCCAAGGAGTGAGGTGAGCCTGACGAAGCTGTGTCCCCGGGAGTCCCCGTCCATTACCCGCCCACTTTATGTGCTGTTGACGTCCTGGGTTGTTAATACTTGCTCAGCACAGTGGCTGCTGTTGCCTTGCACTTTTTTAGGATCCTGGAATTTGAGAACCCCCACGTCACCAGCAACAACAAAGGCACAGGGTGCGAATTTGAGCTGTGGGATTGTGGCGGCGATCCAAGGTATGCGCGCTTTAAAGAGGGTTATTCTCAGTCAATCTGATACATCTCTCACGGCCTGCGCTTAGGAACCAGCTGGCCTAACCTCCCTCTGACTCTCCCCCTCTGCCTTGAAGGTTCGAGTCTTGCTGGCCCGCCCTGATGAAGGACTCACACGGAGTGGTGATCGTCTTCAACGCCGACATGCCCAGCCACCTGAAGGAGATTGAGATGTGGTATTCCTGCTTCGTGCAGCAGCAGCTCCTACAGGATGCTCAGTGTCTCTTAATTGCCCACCACAAACCCGGCTCTGAAGACGATGCGGGAAGCCTGTCACTGCGTAAGGAGCCCAGAATTTCTCCTTTGGTTTTGAACATGTTGTGGATGTGTACGTTTCTGAATGACGCAGGGAGGCCTGCATGACACAAATGGAGAAGGATAAGTGTTCTCCGCTAACTGAAAGTTTGGAGGGCTGAGTCTACCCAGAGGGAATTCAGGGGAAAGCCCTAGTGATTTGACTTATGAAAAAGAAAAAAAAGTCCAAAAAAGAAAGAAATCCGCCATTGAGAACCCAGTGGAGCTCATTTCTAACGCTAACACGCACTGGGTTTCCGTGAAGACAGAGGGTTTGGTTTGTCAGCTAGTAGTTAGGGAGCTCTGGTGGTCCAGCCATAGGGAGTCTTGTGCTCACCCAAAGGCTGAGTATCTCTGGGGATTTGCACCCCCAGCTGCTCTGCTGGAAGATGGGCGATCTCCCCTCGTGCCCTTTCCAGCCTCAGAAACCCACTGGAGGGTGAGCTTTGAGTTAGTTGTGACTCAACGGCAGTGAAAGTTGGGCACAGATTTTCCTGGCTGGTCTTTTCTTGCTTGCGTGTGAAATCAATGATATCGTTCTATAGTTTCCACACTCTGTTGGGTCACCCTTCTTTGGAATGGGAACAGATAGAGATCTCTTCCAGTCAGTTGGCCAAGTGGTTGTTCTCCAGATTTCTTGGTACAACTTGGTGAGCACGTCCAGGGCAGCATCTGTTAGCTGAAATATGTCAATTGGAATACCATCTATTCCTGGGACCTTATTTTTTGCTTTCTTCAAAGCAGCTTGAACTTCTTCCTTCATCACCATAGGCTCTTGCTCATATGTGATTTCATTAAATTCTTCTGTGTCTGCCAGTTCCTTTTGATACAGTGACTCAGTATATTCTTTCAATCTTCTTTTAATACTTCCTGGATCATTTAATATTCTGCCTAAAGCATCCTTGATTATAGCAACTCTAGGTTTAACTTTATTCTTCAGTTCCTTGAGCTTAAGAAATGCTGAGCGAGTTCGGCCCTTTTGATTTTCTGACTCCAGCTCCTTGCACATTTCATTGTAATATTTTGCTTTGTCATCCCGTGCTGCCTTTTGAAATCTTCTGTTCAGCTCTTTAGTATCTTGAATTCTTCCTTGTGCTTTGGCTTCTCTGTGCTCCAGTTCTTAACAAAATCTTGAAATTCACACATGACACTCACGTGACAGAGTGAGTGAGGGAAATGATGCAATTAGAAAAGATCCAGAAATAAAATGAACAAGAGGGAAGCACTTCCTTTCTGATTGAAGAACAAGAAGGACCTGAAAGACATTTTTAGAGGTTTTAGCCTTACACCAGGTGGCAGCATGTTGAAACCCAGTTAAATTGGATCAAGGCACACACTTCAAACTTCAGTTTTGGGCTTAAAATAATGAAATTCGATTGGTTTCTATACTTTTCAGGTAATTTGGAGCTAAAAGCGGTCCCTTACTAAAAGCTTGTACCTAATTACCTTATTTTCTTTTTCCCAGCATCACCCTTAAACAAACTAAAGCTGGTGCGCTCGAATCTGGAGGAAGACCCTGAGGAGATCCGGCTGGAATTCATAGCGTATTTAAAAAGCATCGTCAGCTCTGTGTCTGAGAGCAGGGACCGGGAGGAGATGTCCATTATTACCTAACCTGCATGCATCTGGGACCCGCCCACATCACAGGTGAAGTCAGCTCCTTCCCAGGTACCCATGCTTGTTTTTCCGTTGGGCTGTAGAAGACGTGTTCTCCTCCTCATAGAAGGTAGCAGTCCAGCAATGAATTGTTTATTTGGTTTGTATCATCTTTCATTGAGGATCCGTCAGTGAACTCTTAATTCCTTCAACCCACACCTTTTCAAAGATCTGGATATATACTAAGTTTTGAAAAGTATGGAATGGTGACTGTCTTTGTTCAATGATGTAAATAGTCGTCTTTTCCCTGTGTATTGGCTCAGATGTGACTTTTTTCCTTCCTTCACTCGCTCAGCAACCACCAGCTTGTTGCACCAGCTACGTACTAGGCATTGTTCTAGATGCCATTATTCTGCAGCATGAACGGCACAGACAAAAATTCCTGTCCTCTTAGAGCTTCATTCTGTGTCTAAGTGATTGTGTTATAGAGTTGTCATTGTTAGGTGCCATTGAGTCAAGTTCAAATCATAGTGACTCCATGAACAAAAGATCTGAACGCTGTTCTATCGTGCACCATCTTCACACCTCCTGACACACAAGAGTCCACTGCAGCAGTCACTGTGTCTGTCCACCTGGTTGAAGGTCTTCCTCTCCTTCGCCGACCCTCCACCCTTCCCAGCGTCATGTCCTTCTCTAAGGAGTAGCCCCTCCCAGCAGCATGCCCAAAGTGTGTGAGGTGAAGCCTTCAAAGAGTACTCTGGCTGCACCCTCTCCAAGATACATATCTGTTCGTTCTCTTGGCCGTCCGGGGGGTGTACTCTTCTCCAACATCACAGCTCAAAGGTGTCAGTTCTTTTTCTGTCATCTTTATTCATTGCCCACTGTCCATTGTGGTGGGGTAAAAATCTTAAATACTCTATTTTGGATATTAAAAAAATGATTTCTTATTTGCTATCACTGGTCTAAATCTCACTCACTCCCATCCTTTAGATAACAAGGGCAGTCGGGACACTTGACCATCCCAAATGAAGATGTGTCTTCTGTGAATTGAAATAGGTGTGGTTCTTAGGTGCCGTCAGGTCAGTTACCACTTACCTTATGAATAGATGGAAGACTTGCCTTACTCAGCACCAACCTGACGGTTGGTTGCCTTTATGCTTCGGCCTGTGGTTGCAGTCACTCTGTCAGTCCGTCTGCTGAGGCGGCTCTTGGCTTTCACTGACCCTTTCCAAAGACTGATGCCTCCTGACAACATGCCCACAGTGCATGAGACAGAGTTTCACCGTCCTTGCCTCTGACGAGCTCTGTGGCTGCTCTTCCCCCGAGACAGATGTGCTTGTTCTTTCAGCAGACGACAGCACAGTCAACACTCTGCCAACACGACAGGTTCAAGGTACTGGTTCTTCTTCATCTTCCCTTACTCATTGTCCATATTCACTTGCATGTGAAGCAATTAAAAATACCTGGACCCTCCAGATCCCTTTCCCATCAGATCTGAACACTGGTCTAGGTGATCTTAAAAGGAGGGACAGGAACTGAAACTGACGCTTGACCTACAATATTATAGATGACAGTTCATATCAAATAATACTATTGTATTCACTCAGATTGTTTCCACTACATTCGGGTGCTGAAAGGATGAGTAAATGAGTGAGAATTATTTGAGGCAGAAAATGGATTTTTTATCTTTGTCTCTTGATTAAAAGCATTCTCTTTTAAAAAAAAAGCAACCTGGTTTGTATCCTATACAACTTAGTCTTGAATTATGTCTCCCCCAAAATGTGTGTTGTCAGTCCTAACTTGTCCTAACTTAATCCAATCTGTGTTTATAATCTCTTTTGGGATTATAGTAATGAGACAGGATTAGTGTAGAGTGTATCTTGAGTTAATCTCTTTTAATATATAAAAGAGATTAAACAAACAAGATAGGAAGCGGAGATGGGGCAAGAGCAATGCTAAACCACATAGAGCTTGCTCAGGAACAGAAGGGCCTTCCTCTAGAGCCAACAGGGAAGAAGCCTTCACCTAGAGCCAGCACCCTAAATTTGTACTTCTAGACTTGAATTGATGAAGGGGGAGGGAAGGGTTTCTGTTTGTTAAAGACACCCACTGTGGTATTCCTGTAACAGCAGGACTAGATAACTAAGACAGCACTTGAGTGTGTTTGTGGTTGAGAGCATGTGTGAGAGAGAGTGTGTGTGTGTGTGTGTGTGTGTGTGTGTGTGTAAGCATCATAGAAAACCAAGAGCCAGACTGTGAAGAGGCTTTATGGTAGGCCAGGGAATTCTGCTTTTATTTTATATGCATTAAAATGCCACTGGAGAATTTTAGCTGTAGATTAATGTGGTCAGCCGTCTATTTTAAAAAACTGCCCTCTAACAACTGCATGTGGCTATATTGGAAGAAGGACAAGATTGGACACCGGGAGGCAGGGGTAATGGAGAGCTTGCTGTGGTGGTCACAGGAAGCAATGCATAGGTAGATAGGACGACGGAATTCACGGGAAGAGGAGTAAATGGAGGTTCATAGCTCCTTCTCTCCGTCTAATTTGATGGTGTATTCGTTTTCTGAGGCCATTGTAACAGATTACCACAAACATAGTGGAAGCATATTGGCATAAAACAGAACTGTATTCTTTCCGTTTTAGAGGCCAGAGTCTAAATTCAGTATATATGGCGTAGTTCGTAGAGAGTTGTGCTGACAACCTAACGGCCGCACATCTCCTGTGGTTCAAGTCCACCAGTCACGTCAAAGGGAGAAAGACAGGACTCATTTTCCTTCCTCAGAAGCCCAATGGAAGGTTACCGTGTGTTGGAATCAACTCAGCGGCCATTAGATCTTTGAGTTTGTGCTGAAATCAAGGTGTTGGTTAAAACATGCTTCCTAAAAAAAAAAAAAAAAAAACAAAAACAAAAAAAACATGCTTCCTCTGCAGGATCTAAGGAGAGAATGTGTCCCTTGCCTTTTCTAGCTACTTCCATGGATGATGGCCACATCACTCCAATCTTCGTGGTGAACATCTTCCCTGAGTGCTGTCTCAGAACTCCCTCCGCCTCTTGTGAGGACACCTGTGACTCAGAAAATTCAAAATAAGCACTACATCTCAGAATCCTTACATCATCGAACTCTCTTGCTCCTCTCGTCTCTTCCTCCCCCCCCCAAAAAAAAACCAAAAACAACAAAAAAACCCTCCTTGTTCCAAGTAAAGTACATGTTCCAGGGATTAGGACATCCTGCCTGGGGAGCAAAGACAAGATCTGTTCTCACAATGGCTGCAGCATAGGAAACTTCCTAGGGCAGTTCTGACCTTTCCTGTGGGGAGGCTAAGAGTCCAGAGACTCAGGAGACTGGGCAGAAGGATCTGATGATCAACTTCTGAGAGAAGAAAAGGAAGACCATTATGTGTAGAAGCAGAACATTGATACAGAGCTGGGAGAAGAGCCTCATTTCTGTGTCTAAGCCCACGGCTAGAGCAATGGTGTCAGTCTATCCTGTTAGGATCTTGACTGCTCTGGGGGAGCAAGGTGAGCAATCTCCTCTTGTGCAATTTACTGCCTCTGAAAACCTACTGGAGGTCAGCTAGAAGGTGTTCCCAACTTGACAGTAAACAACAACAAAAACAACTGTCTGTCATGAGGTCCATCTCCAGGTCCCCCCTGATAATATGCCCAACACACCCATGATGAAGTCCCACCATCCTTGCTTCTAAGTAGCATTATGGCTGTATCTTTACTAACACAGCTATGTCCATTCTTCTGGAAATCCGCAGTCTAGACAACATCATGATTTAAATGCATCTATTTTTTGGTCTTTCTTAGTCTTTTTCCAATTTTCATACGCACATGAGGGGACTGAAAATTCCATTGTATAAGCATGGCACACCTTAGTATTAAAGATTACTTCTTTTTAATATTCAACAAACTGGTCTTATGTGGAGATTATCAAACTATACCATCAATATCATGTGCAAGTAAAATCTTGCTGAAGATTATTTAATTTTGACTTGGTTTACACAATCAGTACCCATGATAACAACAATCGAGACATCGAAAGATGTCTTACTTTAAGCAAATCTCTTGTCAAGGACCTCTGGGAAGTGCTAAAGCACAAAAGTGTCAGTTTAAAGACAAAGGTGCACCTGACCCAAGCCTTGGCATTATTTTGAATTGCTTTGTATGCATCTAAAAATTGGACAGTAAATAAGACTGAAGAAGAATCAAAAGCCTTGAATTGTTGTGTTGTCGAAAATGATTGACTATTCCATAGACTGCCAAAAGAGCAAACAAATGTATCTTGCTGTCTGACACGCATCTAGGTGCTCCTTGGAGGCAAGGACAGAAACGTCATCTCATCTACTCTGGGCGTGTTATCAGGAGGGATCAGTTCTTGGAAAAAACATATCATGCTAGACAAGGTGGGGAGTCAGCAAAAGAGAGGAAGACCCTCAACAAGCTGCACCGACACAGTGACGGTAGCAGTGGAGTCGAGCCTGTTGGAGTGAGACTGGCACAGGACAGGACAAGGCTCAGATCTGTTGTTCGTAGTGTTGCTATGAGTTGTAGCTGACTCATATCACCTAACACCTAACGTTATCAACAGCTATACTCTCTTCTATCAGGTCAGCCTGCCCTACTCCTAGTAGGATTTCCTAAGCCTTGGCTGATGCATCATCAACACATGCCCTCCTTCCTTAAATGAGAAATTAATGATTCCATGTTATTAAAAACAAAACCAAAGACATTAAATAAATGAGACAGGAGGAAACTCCCTCTGCTTTTAAATGTTAAGAACAGATTGCATTCTTCCATTATGACTTCTACTTTATCAGTTAAATTATTCTCTACATTTATTATATGGGCCATTCTTCCTAGGAAACTTAAAAGCCAATGGGCATGTTGTTTCTGCCAACTATTCCCACTTCAAAAGGAAAGTTCTCGGGGCTTTGATGTGAGCAACACATCATTTATCTTCCTGCACTCTACAGTTCATTCCCTATCTAGACTTTTTTGATTTCTAAA